ATTACTTTAAGTCTTCCTACGGTCCTTTCGCTTTATAAACCTCATGCTGACACCAAGGTATTTTGCCTCTTTGGCCTGACGTTATTTCAATATCTCGAAAGACGGGAATGCTACTCGATTAGAAAATTAGAACAGAAGATTTTATTTGGGATATAGACATTATTATTATGCATCATTATTTATTATTACCATATTCACCATCATCATCATAGTCGTTATAAATATTGTTATCTCTAAAATGATCAAAATCATCATATTTTTGTACGTTATCGTCGTCCTCATTGTCTTAAAAATAACTTAAATATAAACCATCACATCAGTCTTAACGATAATAAATGGCTCATTGTAGGTGCCTGCGCCGTGGACTCGGATTGCGAGTACGGAGGAACTTGTGATTTGACTACATTGATGTGCATGTGTGCAGCTGGGTACACTGGTACAACGTGTGGAACAGGTAAGAATTCTTCAAACCTCTTACCTTTCAACTCAGGGTTTGCATCTCCATTCGATTACCAAATAAAAGACACGGTGTAAATTTAGGGCAGTGGTCTTGATTATTTCATTCCTATGACGAACCTACGAACAAACTTAACTTTAAGAATGATTCTATCACAATTTTAAAAGTGTGATGCAAGCTACAGTGTCTAATAAAAAAGAGAATGTTGATTACTATAAGTCTTCCTCGGGTCCTATCGCTTTATACACTTCATGCTGACACCAAGGTATTTTGCCTCTTTGGCCTGACGTTATTTCAATATCTCGAAAGACGGGAATGCTACTATATTAGAAATTAGAAGAGAAGATTTTAACTTGGTATATAGACATTATATGCATCATTATTCATCATCACCAGCTTCATCATTATCATCATAGTCGTTATAAATAATGTTATCTCTAAAATGATCAAAATCATCATATTTTTTACGTTATCGTCGTCCTCATTGTCTTTAAAAGAACTTAAATATAAACCATCACATCAGTCTTAACGATAATAAATGGCTCATTGTAGGTGCCTGCGCCGTGGACTCGGATTGCGAGTACAGAGGAACTTGTGATTTGACTACATTGATGTGCATGTGTGCAGCTGGGTACACTGGTACAACCTGTGGAACAGGTAAGATTTATTCAAACATCTTACCTCTCAACTCAGGTTTTGCATCACCATGCGATCACCAAATAAAAGACACGGTGTAAATTAAGGGCAGTGGCCTTGTTTATTTCATTCCTATAACGAACTGAAGAAGAAACTCTATTTTTAGAACATTTTTCTCTTTTACACTTACAAAAGTGTAAATAAAGCTTAATTGTCGAACAAAAATGCAAAGGTTGATTACTATAAGTCTTCCTACGGTCCTATCGCTTTATAAACCTCATGCTGACACCAAGGTATTTTGCCTTTTTGGCCTGACGTTATTTCAATATCTCGAAAGACGGGAATGCTACTCGATTAGAAAATTAGAACAGAAGATTTTATTTGGGATATAGACATTATTATTATGCATCATTATTTATTATTACCATATTCACCATCATCATCATAGTCGTTATAAATATTGTTATCTCTAAAATGATCAAAATCATCATATTTTTGTACGTTATCGTCGTCCTCATTGTCTTTAAAATAACTTAAATATAAACCATCACATCAGTCTTAACGATAATAAATGGCTCATTGTAGGTGCCTGCGCCGTGGACTCGGATTGCGAGTACGGAGGAACTTGTGATTTGACTACTTTGATGTGCATGTGTGCAGCTGGGTACACTGGTACAACCTGTGGAACAGGTAAGATTTCTTCAAACACCTTTCAACTCAGGGTTTGCATCTCAATTCGATTACAAAATAAAAGACACGGTGTAAATTTAGGGCAGTGGACTTGATTATTTCATTCCTATGACGAACCTACGAACAAACTTAACTTTAAGAATGATTCTATCACAATTTTAAAAGTGAGATGCAAAAGCTACAGTGTCTAATAAAAAAGAGAATGTTGATTACTATTAGTCTTCCTCGGGTCCTATCGCTTTATACACTTCATGCTGAAACCAAGGTATTTTGCCTCTTTGGCCTGACGTTATTTCAATATCTCGAAAGACGGGAATGCTACTCGATTAGAAAATTAGAACAGAAGATTTTATTTGGGATATAGACATTATTATTATGCATCATTATTTATTATTACCATCTTCACCATCATCATCATAGTCGTTATAAATATTGTTATCTCTAAATCAAAATCATCATATTTTTTTACGTTATCGTCGTCCTCATTGTCTTTAAAAGAACTTAAATATAAACCATCACATCAGTCTTAACGATAATAAATGGCTCATTGTAGGTGCCTGCGCCGTGGACTCGGATTGCGAGTACGGAGGAACTTGTGATTTGACTACATTGATGTGCATGTGTGCAGCTGGGTACACTGGTACAACCTGTGAAACAGGTAAGATTTCTTTAAACCTCTTACCTCTCAACTCAGGTTTTGCATCTCCATTCGATCACCAAATAAAATACACGGTGTAAATTAGGGGCAGTGGCCTTGTTTATTTCATTCCTATAACGAACTGAAGAAGAAACTCTATTTTTAGAACATTTTTCTCTTTTACACTTACAAAAGTGTAAATAAAGCTTAATTGTCGAACAAAAATGCAAAGGTTGATTACTTTAAGTCTTCCTACGGTCCTTTCGCTTTATAAACCTCATGCTGACACCAAGGTATTTTGCCTCTTTGGCCTGACGTTATTTCAATATCTCGAAAGACGGGAATGCTACTCGATTAGAAAATTAGAACAGAAGATTTTATTTGGGATATAGACATTATTATTATGCATCATTATTTATTATTACCATATTCACCATCATCATCATAGTCGTTATAAATATTGTTATCTCTAAAATGATCAAAATCATCATATTTTTGTACGTTATCGTCGTCCTCATTGTCTTAAAAATAACTTAAATATAAACCATCACATCAGTCTTAACGATAATAAATGGCTCATTGTAGGTGCCTGCGCCGTGGACTCGGATTGCGAGTACGGAGGAACTTGTGATTTGACTACATTGATGTGCATGTGTGCAGCTGGGTACACTGGTACAACGTGTGGAACAGGTAAGAATTCTTCAAACCTCTTACCTTTCAACTCAGGGTTTGCATCTCCATTCGATTACCAAATAAAAGACACGGTGTAAATTTAGGGCAGTGGTCTTGATTATTTCATTCCTATGACGAACCTACGAACAAACTTAACTTTAAGAATGATTCTATCACAATTTTAAAAGTGTGATGCAAGCTACAGTGTCTAATAAAAAAGAGAATGTTGATTACTATAAGTCTTCCTCGGGTCCTATCGCTTTATACACTTCATGCTGACACCAAGGTATTTTGCCTCTTTGGCCTGACGTTATTTCAATATCTCGAAAGACGGGAATGCTACTATATTAGAAATTAGAAGAGAAGATTTTAACTTGGTATATAGACATTATATGCATCATTATTCATCATCACCAGCTTCATCATTATCATCATAGTCGTTATAAATAATGTTATCTCTAAAATGATCAAAATCATCATATTTTTTACGTTATCGTCGTCCTCATTGTCTTTAAAAGAACTTAAATATAAACCATCACATCAGTCTTAACGATAATAAATGGCTCATTGTAGGTGCCTGCGCCGTGGACTCGGATTGCGAGTACAGAGGAACTTGTGATTTGACTACATTGATGTGCATGTGTGCAGCTGGGTACACTGGTACAACCTGTGGAACAGGTAAGATTTATTCAAACATCTTACCTCTCAACTCAGGTTTTGCATCACCATGCGATCACCAAATAAAAGACACGGTGTAAATTAAGGGCAGTGGCCTTGTTTATTTCATTCCTATAACGAACTGAAGAAGAAACTCTATTTTTAGAACATTTTTCTCTTTTACACTTACAAAAGTGTAAATAAAGCTTAATTGTCGAACAAAAATGCAAAGGTTGATTACTATAAGTCTTCCTACGGTCCTATCGCTTTATAAACCTCATGCTGACACCAAGGTATTTTGCCTTTTTGGCCTGACGTTATTTCAATATCTCGAAAGACGGGAATGCTACTCGATTAGAAAATTAGAACAGAAGATTTTATTTGGGATATAGACATTATTATTATGCATCATTATTTATTATTACCATATTCACCATCATCATCATAGTCGTTATAAATATTGTTATCTCTAAAATGATCAAAATCATCATATTTTTGTACGTTATCGTCGTCCTCATTGTCTTTAAAATAACTTAAATATAAACCATCACATCAGTCTTAACGATAATAAATGGCTCATTGTAGGTGCCTGCGCCGTGGACTCGGATTGCGAGTACGGAGGAACTTGTGATTTGACTACTTTGATGTGCATGTGTGCAGCTGGGTACACTGGTACAACCTGTGGAACAGGTAAGATTTCTTCAAACACCTTTCAACTCAGGGTTTGCATCTCAATTCGATTACAAAATAAAAGACACGGTGTAAATTTAGGGCAGTGGACTTGATTATTTCATTCCTATGACGAACCTACGAACAAACTTAACTTTAAGAATGATTCTATCACAATTTTAAAAGTGAGATGCAAAAGCTACAGTGTCTAATAAAAAAGAGAATGTTGATTACTATTAGTCTTCCTCGGGTCCTATCGCTTTATACACTTCATGCTGAAACCAAGGTATTTTGCCTCTTTGGCCTGCGTCATTTCAATATCTCGAAAGACGGGAATGCTACTCGATAAGAAAATTAGAACAGAAGATTTAATTTGGGATATAGACATTATCATTATGCATCATTATTTATTATTACCATCTTCACCATCATCATCATAGTCGTTATAAATATTGTTATCTCTAAAATGATCAAAATCATCATATTTTGTTACGTTATCGTCGTCCTCATTGTCTTTAAAAGAACTTAAATATAAACCATCACATCAGTCTTAACGATAATAAATGGCTCATTGTAGGTGCCTGCGCCGTGGTCTCGGATTGCGAGTACGGAGGAACTTGTGATTTGACTACATTGATGTGCATGTGTGCAGCTGGGTACACTGGTACAACCTGTGGAACAGGTAAGATTTCTTCAAACCTCTCACCTTTCAACTCAGGGTTTGCATCTCCTTTCGATTACCAAATAAAAGACACGGTGTAAATTTAGGGCGGTGGTCTTGATTATTTCATTCCTATGACGAACGTACGAATCTACTTAACTTTAAGAATGATTCTATCACAATTTTAAAAGTGTGATGCAAGCTACAGTGTCTAATAAAAAAGAGAATGTTGATTATTATAAGTCTTCCTCGGGTCCTATCGCTTTATACACTTCATGCTGACACCAAGGTATTTTGCCTCTTTGGCCTGACGTTATTTCAATATCTCGAAAGACGGGAATGCTACTATATTAGAAATTAGAAGAGAAGATTTTAACTTGGTATATAGACATTATATGCATCAATATTCATTATTACCATCTTCATCATCATCATCATAGTCGTTTTAAATACTGTTATCTCTAAAATGATCAAAATCAGCGTGTTCTTTTACGTTATCGTCGTCCTCATTGTCTTTAAAAGAACTTGAATATAAACCATAACATAAGTCGTAACTATAATTAAATAGGGACTTTTAGATTTGCGTGGACTGATACGTGTGACGTCCATTCAAGGCAGTACATTAAACGGACGTCGATCGTAGCAATCCCCATTGTCTTCTTGCGAATCTAAAAGTCCCTAATGGCTCATTATAGGTGCCTGCGCCGTGGACTCGGATTGCGAGTACGGAGGAACTTGTGATTTGACTACATTGATGTGCATGTGTGCAGCTGGGTACACTGGTACAACCTGTGGAACAGGTAAGATTTCTTTAAACCTCTTACCTCTCAACTCAGGTTTTGCATCTTCATTCGATCACCAAATAAAAGACACGGTGTAAATTAAGGGCAGTGGCCTTGTTTATTTCATTCCTATAACGAACTGAAGAAGAAACTCTATTTTTAGAACATTTTTCTCTTTTACACTTACAAAAGTGTAAATAAAGCTTAATTGTCGAACAAAAATGCAAAGGTTGATTACTATAAGTCTTCCTACGGTCCTATCGCTTTATAAACCTCATGCTGACACCAAGGTATTTTGCCTCTTTGGCCTGACGTTATTTCAATATCTCGAAAGACGGGAATGCTACTCGATTAGAAAATTAGAACAGAAGATTTTATTTGGGATATAGACATTATTATTATGCATCATTATTTATTATTACCATATTCACCATCATCATCATAGTCGTTATAAATATTGTTATCTCTAAAATGATCAAAATCATCATATTTTTGTACGTTATCGTCGTCCTCATTGTCTTTAAAATAACTTAAATATAAACCATCACATCAGTCTTAACGATAATAAATGGCTCATTGTAGGTGCCTGCGCCGTGGACTCGGATTGCGAGTACGGAGGAACTTGTGATTTGACTACATTGATGTGCATGTGTGCAGCTGGGTACACTGGTACAACCTGTGGAACAGGTAAGATTTCTTCAAACACCTTTCAACTCAGGGTTTGCATCTCAATTCGATTACCAAATAAAAGACACGGTGTAAATTTAGGGCAGTGGACTTGATTATTTCATTCCTATGACGAACCTACGAACAAACTTAACTTTAAGAATGATTCTATCACAATTTTAAAAGTGAGATGCAAAAGCTACAGTGTCTAATAAAAAAGAGAATGTTGATTACTATAAGTCTTCCTCGGGTCCTATCGCTTTATACACTTCAAGCTGAAACCAAGGTATTTTGCCATTTTGGCCTGCGTCATTTCAATATCTCGAAAGACGGGAATGCTACTCGATAAGAAAATAAGAACAGAAGATTTAATTTGGGATATAGACATTATTATTATGCATCATTATTTATTATTACCATCTTCACCATCATTATCATAGTCGTTATAAATATTGTTATCTCTAAAATGATCAAAATCATCATATTTTGTTACGTTATCGTCGTCCTCATTGTCTTTAAAAGAACTTAAATATAAACCATCACATCAGTCTTAACGATAATAAATGGCTCATTGTAGGTGCCTGCGCCGTGGTCTCGGATTGCGAGTACGGAGGAACTTGTGATTTGACTACATTGATGTGCATGTGTGCAGCTGGGTACACTGGTACAACCTGTGGAACAGGTAAGATTTCTTCAAACCTCTCACCTTTCAACTCAGGGTTTGCATCTCCTTTCGATTACTAAATAAAAGACACGGTGTAAATTTAGGGCAGTGGTCTTGATTATTTCATTCCTATGACGAACGTACGAACCTACTTAACTTTAAGAATGATTCTATCACAATTTTAAAAGTGTGATGCAAGCTACAGTGTCTAATAAAAAAGAGAATGTTGATTATTATAAGTCTTCCTCGGGTCCTATCGCTTTATACACTTCACGCTGACACCAAGGTATTTTGCCTCTTTGGCCTGACGTTATTTCAATATCTCGAAAGACGGGAATGCTACTATATTAGAAATTAGAAGAGAAGATTTTAACTTGGTATATAGACATAATATGCATCATTATTCATTATTACCATCTTCATCATCATCATCATAGTCGTTTTAAATACTGTTATCTCTAAAATGATCAAAATCAGCGTGTTCTTTTACGTTATCGTCGTCCTCATTGTCTTTAAAAGAACTTGAATATAAACCATAACATAAGTCGTAACGATAATTAAATAGGGACTTTTAGATTTGCGTGGACTGATACGTGTGACGTCCATTCAAGGCAGTACATTAAACGGACGTCGATCGTAGCAATCCCCATTGTCTTCTTGCGAATCTAAAAGTCCCTAATGGCTCATTATAGGTGCCTGCGCCGTGGACTCGGATTGCGAGTACGGAGGAACTTGTGATTTGACTACATTGATGTGCATGTGTGCAGCTGGGTACACTGGTACAACCTGTGGAACAGGTAAGATTTCTTTAAACCTCTTACCTCTCAACTCAGGTTTTGCATCTTCATACGATCACCAAATAAAAGACACGGTGTAAATTAAGGCCAGTGGCCTTGTTTATATCATTCCTATAACGAACTGAAGAAGAAACTCTATTTTTAGAACATTTTTCTCTTTTACACTTACAAAAGTGTAAATAAAGCTTAATTGTCGAACAAAAATGCAAAGGTTGATTACTATAAGTCTTCCTACGGTCCTATCGCTTTATAAACCTCATGCTGACACCAAGGTATTTTGCCTCTTTGGCCTGACGTTATTTCAATATCTCGAAAGACGGGAATGCTACTCGATTAGAAAATTAGAACAGAAGATTTAATTTGGGATATAGACATTATTATTATGCATCATTTTTATGCCTCCGCCACCGAAGGTGGTGCCGGAGGCATCATGTTTTCGGGTTGTCCGTCCGTACGTCCGTCCGTCCGTACGTCCGTCCGTCCGTACGTCCGTCCGTCCGTCCGTCCGTCCGTCCGTCCGTCCGTCCCGTTTGACCGTTATCACAATATCTCAAGAACCATTTAAGATTTAAACTTAAGACTCGGGAATAGTATTTATCAGTATAGGAAGACGATCTGATTAGATTTTGGAGTACGTAGGTCAAAGGTCACAGGTCACAGAGGTCAACTTATGAAATTCCTTGTATTGAGTTTGTTAGCGCGATATCTCAAGAACCATTTGAGATTTAAACTTCAAACTTAAGGATAGTATGTATCACCATAGGAAGACGATCTGATTAGATTTTTGGAGCACGTATGTCAAAGGTCAAGGGTCACAGAGGTCAACTTATGAAATTCCATACATTGAGATTGTTATCATGATATCTCAAGAACCACTGGAGATTTAAACTTCAAACTTTGTGATAGTGTGTATCACTATAGGAAAACAATCTGATTACATTTTGGAGCACGTAGGTCAAAGGTCAAGGGTCATAGAGGTCAACTTATGAAATTCCATACATTGAGATTGTTATCATGATATCTCAAGAACCACTGGAGATGTAAAAACTTCAAACTTAAGGATAGTATGTATCACCATAGGAAGACGATCTGAGTAGATTTTGGAGCACGTAGGTCAAAGGTTAAGGGTCACAGAGGTCAACTTATGAAATTCCATACATTGAGATTGTTATCATAATATCTCAAGAACCACTGGAGATTTAAACTTCAAACTTAATGATAGTGTGTATCACCATAGGAAGACAATCTGATTAGATTTTGGAGCACGTAGGTCAAAGGTCAAGGGTCACAGAGGTCAACTTATGAAATTCCATACATTGAGATTGTTATCATGATATCTCAAGAACCACTGGAGATTTAAACTCCAAACTTGTTTAAATTGCTCTATGGCGGAGGCATCATTTTCGACTGCGCGCAGTCAAAATTCCATCTAGTTTATTATTACCATTTTCACCATCATCATCTTAGTCGTTATAAATATTGTTATCTCTAAAATGATCAAAATCATCATATTTTTTTACGTTATCGTCGTCCTCATTGTCTTTAAAAGAACTTAAATATAAACCATCACATTAGTCTTAACGATAATAAATGGCTCATTGTAGTTGCCTGCGCCGTGGACTCGGATTGCGAGTACGGAGGAACTTGTGATTTGACTACATTGATGTGCATGTGTGCAGCTGGGTACACTGGTACAACCTGTGGAACAGGTAAGATTTATTCAAACATCTTACCTCTCAACTCAGGTTTTGCATCTCCATGCGATCACCAAATAAAAGACACGGTGTAAATTTAGGGCAGTGGCCTTGTTTATTTCATTCCTATAACGAACTGAAGAAGAAACTCTACTTTTAGGATATTTTTCTCTTTCACACTTACAAAAGTTTAAATAAAGCTTTATTGTCGAACAAAAATGCAAAGGTTGATATACTATAAGTCTTTCTCTGGTCCTATCGCTTAATAAACTTTATGCTGACACCAAGGTATTTTGCCTCTTTGGCCTGACGTTATTTCAATATCTCGAAAGACGGGCATGCTACTCGATTAGAAAATTAGAACAGAAAATTTAACTTGGTATATAGACATTATATGCATCATTATTCATCATCACCAGCTTCATCATTATCATCATAGTCATTATAAATAATGTTATTTCTAAAATGATCAAAATCATCATATTTTTTACGTTATCGTCGTCCTCATTGTCTTTAAAAGAACTTAAATATAAACCATCACATCAGTCTTAACGATAATAAATGGCTCATTGTAGGTGCCTGCGCCGTGGACTCGGATTGCGAGTACGGAGGAACTTGTGATTTGACTACATTGATGTGCATGTGTGCAGCTGGGTACACTGGTACAACCTGTGGAACAGGTAAGATTTCTTCAAATACCTTTTAACTCAGGGTTTGCATCTCAATTCGATTACCAAATAAAAGACACGGTGTAAATTTAGGGCAGTGGACTTGATTATTTCATTCCTATGACGAACCTACGAACAAACTTAACTTTGAGAAGGATTCTATCACAATTTTAAAAGTGTGATGCAAGCTTCAGTGTCTAATAAAAAAGAGAATGTTGATTACTATAAGTCTTCCTCGGGTCCTATCGCTTTATACACTTCATGCTGACACCAAGGTATTTTGCCTCTTTGGCCTGACGTTATTTCAATATCTCGAAAGACGGGAATGCTACTATATTAGAAATTAGAAGAGAAGATTTTAACTTGGTATATAGACATTATATGCATCATTATTCATCATCACCAGCTTCATTATTATCATCATAGTCGTTATAAATAATGTTATCTCTAAAATGATTAAAATCATCATATTTTTTACGTTATCGTCGTCCTCATTGTCTTTAAAAGAACTTGAATATAAACCATAACATAAGTCGTAACGATAATAAATAGGGACTTTTAGATTTGCGTGGACTGATACGTGTGACGTCCATTCAAGGCAGTACATTAAACGGATGCCAATTGTAGCAATCCCCATTGTCTTCTTGCGAATCAAAAAGTCCCTAATGGCTCATTATAGGTGCCTGCGCCGTGGACTCGGATTGCGAGTACGGAGGAACTTGTGATTTGACTACATTGATGTGCCATTGTGCAGCTGGGTACACTGGTACAACCTGTGGAACAGGTAAGATTTCTTCAAACCTCTTACCTCTTGGACGTTTGGTGGAGCAGAAAGCAGTGGATTCTTAACAACACGAACCCATTTAACAGAATCTCGGAACGTAAATTAAATTTGGCGCGGTTGCAAAATGCATCTCTCTACCCTGCGACTTTAATGGTACGATCCAGTAAATTAAAATAGTAAAATGGCTCTTAATTTATATTTACTCATTAGATAAAATCCAAAACTTTAGTGATATCAGACAAAATATGTTTTATCTTATAATAAAAAAAGATGTTTAAACATTGTGAGAGTGTAGCATTTTACGATAACAGACATCGATTTGGCGTTATTAGAACCTATATGTTCGCTTGCAAAGGTCAAAACGTCAATTCAGACGCTGATAAGTTAATCGTCAAGCCTTTTTGTTTCCTTAATTCCGACAAAATTATACAATCAATCAAAACAATTTTAATACCAGAAGAAAGCTAACGATTAGTATTTTCATTAACGCTTGACCACAGTGAAACGAGTGAGAGCTTGCGAGACCGGCCAAAGTGTGATTGAAACTCGCTATTTGCTCTTCTCCAACGCAAAAAGAGACGACATTGTGCTGGATAAATATAATTTTTTCCGACAAAAGTACAGAAAATTTGCATATGGTCTTTTTATATTATACTTTATGAAATGTTACCCGAGTGACAAATTTTGGTCAAAATACGAAACAATTATGCACGTGTGATCGAGGTAGGGTACTTACGTTTACCAATACCACTGGGCAAAATATTGCCCAATAGATGGTTAGGTTGACTATTGGCACAACGTTGGGCAAACTGTTGACAAAATATTGCCCAACCTTTTTACAGTGTAGTAATTGGAGAAGAAAATATTTGCATTTTTGTTTAGAGTCAACTGAAGTAATAGTGCAGGCAAAAGATGCGAGGGTATCTAACATTTGTTTTAGCCTAAATCAAGTAAAGGTACAGTTCTTTCGATTTCAAGTAGTCTCATGGATAATAGGAGTGCATGGTCGTATTGTGATTTCTACAACAATCTTTTCTAATCCAGATATGTTTTAGGGTAAAAAAATGAGTAGCATATTTCATCCCAATCATAACGATTCAACTTCTGTCCGTTAAATTACGTGTCTTCAAACTTAAGCAGGGCTCCCACTTAGCCGAATTTTATAATCGAGTTATCGCGAACAGCTCTTCTTGTATCTCGGGATAACTCGCAACAATTCGGTATGGCTTAGCGTAACTCCTAAAGCAGGGCTCAAACTTAGCCGAGTTGGAACCTCGAGTTGTGGCGAGCTGGCGCGAGCTTATGGCTGAGGGAGTTTGCTCTGAAGTAGACAGCGCCTATTCTTGCGCCTGTGTTGGTGGCTTTTCTGGGACTACGTGCGAGGGTAAGCTATAAAGTCGAATCGGATTACATGTCTACTTACATACATACAGTTTTTGAGTGATGCGTTGCCTCCTTGCTCTTCTTAAAAGAGTTCATAAAAGTCAAACAAGAAAAGAAGCGGAGAAAACATCTAGTTATTGCGGAGAAAATCTTTGAATTTAAACAACAATTGAGAGTCAACAGGCGTAAAAGTACAGGCAAAAGAAGCGAGGGTGTTTTACATTTTGGGGCCATAATAAGAGAAACTACACTTCTTTTGATATCGAGTAGACACATGAATAATAGAAGAGCATGGTCATTTCAAGAGGATCGTTTATATTGTGATCCCCACAACGTACTCTTTTAATTTACATATGTTTTAGGGTTGGATAAGAGAAGGATATTTCATCCCAATCGTAAAGATTCAACTGTTGTCCCTGAGGTGTCTTCAAACTAACTAAGACCTAATTGTATAGGACATTCTTTTCTCATCCTAAATGAAAGATGTTATGCTTTCCTTTCCCTTATTTCCTTGCAGGGGCACATGAACGGTTATTCAAAAATGTGATTTTAACCTGAAAATATTTTCTATCTGAGCCTACAATTTTGTAATCAATAGAAATATAAAACGAGACATTCACTTAAAACACCCTATTTCATACAATTATTTACGTTTTTTATTTATGAAGTGAAGTATATCTCAACTGTCATTATCTTGAATTTAAAATATCAATGTTGACTTCGTGTTCCTGTAATCCCCTAAATAAAATAAAATCCGTTAAAATGGGAATTATTTTAATGTCACTTTTATCGCATTCTTTGTATTTGAAACTCAATTTGCACAGTTGTACCCGCCGTATGTGCTGACGCTCCTTGTTTGAATGAGGGAGTTTGCTCTGATGTAGACAGCGCCTATTCTTGCGCCTGTGTTGGTGGCTTTTCTGGGACTACGTGCGAGGGTAAGCTATGAAGTCCAATCGGATTACATGTCTACTTACATACATACAGTTTTTGAGTAATGCGTTGCCTCCTTGCTCTTCTTAAAAGAGTACATAAAAGTTAAACAAAGAAAGAAATGGAGTAAACATCTAGTAATTGGAGAGAAAATCTTTGAATTTAAACAACAATTGACAGTCAACAGGCGTAAAAGTACAGACAAAAGAAGCGAGGGTGTTTTACATTTTGGGGCCATAATAAGAGAAACTACACTTCTTTTGATATCGAGTAGACGCGTGAATACTAGAAGAGCATGGTCATTTCAAGAGGATCGTTTATATTGTGATTCCCACAACGTACTCTTTTAATTCAGAAATGTTTTAGGGTTGGATAAGAGTAGGATATTTCGTCCCAATCGTAAAGATTCAACTGTTGTCCCTGAGGTGCCTTCAAACTAACTAAGACCTAATTGTATAGGACATTCTTTTCTCATCCTAAATGAAAGATGTTATGCTTTCCTTTCCCTCATTTCCTTGCAGGGGCACATGAACGGTTATTCAAAAATGTGATTTTAACCTGAAAATATTTTCTATTTGAGCCTACATTTTTGTAATCAATAGAAATATAAAACGAGACATTCAGTTAAAACACCTTATTTCATACAATTATTTACGTTCTTTATTCATGAAGTGAAGTATATCTCAACTGTCATTATCTTGAATTTAAAATATCAATGTTGACTTCGTGTTCCTGTAATCCCCTAAATAAAATAAAATCCGTTAAAATGGGAATTATTTTCATGTCACTTTTATCGCATTCTTTGTATTTGAAACTCTATTTGCACAGTTGTACCCGCCGTATGTGCTGAAGCTCCTTGTTTGAATGAGGGAGTTTGCTCTGATGTAGACGGCGCTTATTCTTGCGCCTGTGTTGGTGGCTTTTCTGGGACTACGTGCGAGGGTAAGCTATGAAGTTCAATCGGATTACATGTCTACTTACATACATACAGTTTTTGAGTAATGCGTTGCCTCCTTGCTCTTCTTAAAAGAGTACATAAAAGTCAAACAAAGAAAGAAATGGACTAAACATCTAATAATTGGAGAGAAAATCTTTGAATTTAAACAACAATTGACAGTCAACAGACGTAAAAGTACAGGCAAAAGAAGCGAGGGTGTTTTACATTTTGGGGCCATAATAAGAAAAACTACACTTCTTTTGATATATCGAGTAGCCACATGAACAATAGAAGTGCTTGGTCATTTCAAGAGGATCGTTTGTATTGTGATCCCCACAACGAACTCTTTTAATTTACATATGTTTTAGGGTTGGATAAGACAAGGATATTTCACCCCAATCATAAAGATTCAACTGTTGTCCCTGAGGTGTCTTCAAACTAAGACCTAATTGTATAGGACATTCTTTACTCATCCTAAATGAAAGATGTTATGCTTTCCTTTCCCTTATTTCCTTGCAGGGACACATGAACGGTTATTCAAAAATGTGATTTTAACCTGAAAATATTTTCTATCTGAGCCTACATTTTTGTAATTAATAAAAATATAAATCGAGACATTCAGTTAAAACACCTTATTTCATACAATTATTTACGTTTTTTATTCATGAAGTGAAGTATATCTCAACTGTCATTATCTTGAATTTAAAATATCAATGTTGACTTCGTGTTCCTGTAATCCCCTAAATGAAATAAAATGACCCTTTGACAGCCTGAAACTTTACAAAGATAAAGAATTAGAAATCAGTTACAACTTTTTCTTGTAGCATGGACCTAGGTTAACCTCCCATAGCTTAACGAAAAAAATTCAGCGTTGCTTTATGTGCATGAGGTATCCCTGAACAGCCAATTGTTTACGGAACTTTGTAAAAAAATTGACATACCTTTTTGGTTGAAGCCGAAAAAAATATATACCCACAAGCAATATGTTTTTTCTATTGATGATTAATGAGCATGGGTGGATCTTAAAGAAAGTTAACAGTAATCTGAATTAACTCCTGTATTTTGATAGAACAGTGCAATTGACAATGGTGTTTCGGACGTTACATTTTCCGTAAACAATGTAGGCCCTCATTTAACCCACTAGAACAATCATTTAATGAGATTGTTTATGGTTTGAATAAGCTTATTAGTTACTCCAAGTCATTAAATTAAAAGAAAATATAATTTAATTGTAGTAGCGCTTATGTTATAAATATTTTCAAAATTTGAAAAAGTTGTCTCATTTTCCATAAACAATTTTGTAACGTCCGAAACAACTTTCAATTTGAAGTAGCAGAAAATATATGAACTGCAGGACCTATCTTTCGTAACATTTTTTAGACATTTCATGGCGGCTACCCACCAAAAAAAAGAAATTTGCAATACATCATTACAATACTATTTTATAGTTAAAACCAATTTTCCGTTAACAGTTGTAACATCCGAAACACATGTAACGTCCGAAACAAAAAATACCCAAAAAATTATGATAATCCATATTTGAGGGTATCTGGAGTGAATAAATCATTATGAAATAAGTTATTATAAGTCTTAACACAAGTCAAAACACAAATCAGGTCTTTCAAATCCAATAATTTTGTGTAAACTCAAGAAGGGTGTTTCGGACGTTACACTATTTGATTGCTAACACATAGTTTGCAAATTTCAACTTATTTTATATCATATGTGCAAGTTACGATTTCACAATGCACACTTTTGTTAAAAACACTATTTTGATAATTTCATTTAGATCTAAATATAAAAATATGAAGAAATATGATGCAAAAAATCAAATTTTCCGTAAAATATCTAAATTTTCTGCAAAAATTGACTTATAAAACATAAATATTGAAGCCACACTTTGTGGTGCAAGGCATTCCTGGCTGCTTTAGTATGTCCTTAATTGTAATTTATCAGAAACAATCTCAATAAAAGTGACTCATAAAAATTATTCAGCCATTTTAACAGCACTTTCTGTTATGCTGTAGCACGTTTCGGATGTTACATTAAACTGTTAACAGACATTTTCATACTTTAACTAGTTCAAATGAGGGGCAAAGATAGATGTGAGAATAGCAAATTTCAATTTTTCAACCTCTCCTCTTGCTATTTACATTGCTGTGTGTTTGCAAATCATCACGTTTTCATTTTTACAGGGTTGTTCCAAATTATGTCATATAACCAAAGATTGTATGGTCAATCTAAACTATTTGGTAGGTTACAAAAGCTCAAAATCACCCACTTAAGCAATACCCAGTGTACATGTACATGACACGGGTATGATACAGGTAAATAAAGTTGATAAAATCAAGCAAATTAAAATGTTTTTCTAAAAATTTATGGGAAATATGGATTTTCATTTAAAAATACCTTTTAAAAAGGGCACTCAGTACACTTTACTAATCTGTGTAGAAAGTAAATACATTTATAAAAGAAAGGGCATTACCAGTAATACCTTATTTAATGATCCTACACATATACAAGTAGTATCTTCCTCAAATGTATGCATACATACAAAATGTATAAGCTAGTGTAGGGATTTATTTTGAACTTCTGAAACTCCCCTTCAAATCCATGATTCATCCCTTTCATATTAATAGGTCATCCCTCATTCACATTCACTCTTTTCATCCACCATCCTTTCATCTGTCTATCTCTCTCTCTCTCTGTCATTGGTTTCAATGTTCACCTGATGCAGTCAAGCTTATGTAGTATAATTTAATATACTATGAATATTCAATATATATACCCTTTGTTTATGTTTGAATATTCAAGAATACTTTGTGATGTTGATTTATACTTGTATGGGACTATATGAATATTTATTGATTTATTCTACTTTGCATGGAATGTATGTGGAATGCTACATAGAATGCTGTAATGTTTTTACACATTAAAACCTGGTCAGTTAGCTAGTAGTTATCAATCCTACAACATGTCTGCTGGGCTGCCTCTGTGTTAAGAGTGCTAGGAATTATCTGTTAGAACCACAACCCTACACTAGTGTGAAATATAAATGGGCTGTCCGTTTTTGTTTTTTTTCCTCTACAAAATGTCAAAGTAGGGGGTGCGGCGCTGCGGCCTTATCGCCGGCAAATACGGTACATGTTTAACCTACACTGTATATTGTTTGTCACCTGTAAAATAGGCACAGCAAGAGTTAAGATCTATCAACCAACCAACCGACCAACCAATCAATCCATCCATTCATCAATCGGTCATCAATTAAATAAATAAATAAATACTTATTTAAGAGCATTAAAACATATTGTCGTTCGAAACAGCCTCCTAATACAAATAGTGGTAAAGGATGATTGTTAAGTATTATAACCTAAAACATACACAATTTTAAAATACATCAAAAGTGTCTCATTTTCGAGATGTACATACATTAGGATTCACTTATTTTTTTATTACCGTACTTACATGACTGGGGGTACTTTTTTATGGTTTCATTTTTTTTAAGATTTGTCAATGTTTCATTGCTTACATACATGTATGTGTTAGTGATATTATTGAATGACACA